TAAAGTAATAATATAGTGGCAAAATTAAGCAACACACAAGTCAAGAGACAAAACATTCATTCATTATATCCGCGTTTTACAGTGATGCTATGAAATAAAACGCGCGTATTTGATTGCGAAGCCTAAGTGCACACATATAAATTGTGAGACATATTGTGGCATAATGGCAAAATTAAGCGCACACATATAATCGTGAGACATATTGTGGCATAATGGCAAAATTAAGCATATATAACATCGAAAAACATATTAAGCGGCGAAGTGGGCAAAATTATACACATATATGTAACATCGAAAACATATTTAAATGGCAAGGTGGCAAAAGTAAACGCACATATACAGTATATAATATCGAGAGATATGTTTGAGTGGATGGTGGCAAAAATAAGCGCACATATATAGACCACTTTCTATTCCCACTCGATGTGCTGCGCATCAGACGGTTGTAGTCGACTTATGATTGCAAAAAGTCTTGATTTCGAATGAAAACACATAATTACAGTCGAAACAGTTATACTGAAATGTGTTGTGTTATACCGAAGCACTCCCACTTTTTTAATATTTAATCTGATCGTTATTACGAAATTTGACGGCAACCTCGTTATTCCATTACCAAAGTCCGAGTACAGGATTTTTGTTATAATACTAGTCGCTTTATAACGAATTTTAATCCCGTGGTTATAATGATCGGTTATAATAATTATAAGGTTTGCCGTATAGTGTTTTCACGCAATATCAATATCTATCATATTGGTTTATTACTAACTGTTGGGAATTATCTCTTTTAAAGATAAGGAATCGTTTGACAATAGCATAGTAGACGATGTCACATCTTGACAAGAAATTGTTCAGAATTTAATTGACAAAACATCAAACAATTTTGCATTAAATGCTACAGAATATATAAAGTCATTAATAAACGATTGGGACGATGAGAAAAATGACTCATGTCTTCCCACTGAAGCGGCAAATTTCTTCAACATGGTAGTATAGAGATAGATTACAATAAGCTGAAAGTCTTTCGTTCATTGAAAAGGAACGTAATCTAGAATGTATTTATTTTTTAGTAATTAGTTCCACTTATTCTTTTCCTGCACATTTGTGTTTATTTTGCTGTTTAATAAAACTTTATTTATGAAAGCCTCAGTATACCGAATATTGCTTGACTTTAAGCTTTGTTACAAATAGGGGTACCTCGTTTTACCGAATTTCTCGTTATTTACAATCTGATCCGTGAAAAATATGTGTAATATCACGATTTCTGTATAGACAGTTAAGATTAATCTGATTACTATGAGCAAGCACGTAGCGTTTGATAAACTTGTTTGATAGAACATTGTGAAGCTTTATTAATCAAGTTCTATGGCTCGTCTCTTAAACATATTAGATAAAACGTTAATATGATTGTAAACAGAATATTTGTAAAGTGATCTCAAAGATAAGATTCAAATAATTTCACTAGTCCAATTTTTTTTAATACCACGGATAAGTTGGTTTATTGAAGTAGCTTTTGGTGTAAGCAGCAGCGAAAGATCACACCTCGTTAGGCTTAGAACAGATATGAGGTTTTGAGATATACCGCACGTTGTCAATATGCCAAAGAGAGAATGCTAATACATTTGTGTATATAATGACTGGTAACCCCTCTAACAAATAACTGGTTTTGTTATTGATAAAAAACTTTTACCATAACGCATGTTGATTGTATATGTCTCTAATCAGACCATTCTCAAGAACAAAATATTTGTACACGGACCCACTGCATCATTATAAAGCTCATGACAGTCTCATGAAACGATAAAGCATCAGGTTGCAAAAACGTGAGTGAAATGAAAATCACAGTTCGCTAACTAATATTATTGCGTAAGAATATTTATTTTTAGGAGACATTATTCCTTTGATGTCTTGGATAATCTGGGATTAAACTAGCCAATAGACGATAAACAGAAAAGAAAGCAAGACAAAGTTCAGCAGCGATTGGCTTCGTTACTCACAGTCGTACGACTGGCTTACTCTAAAGATCATACTGTTTTTACTATCGTGATTAAGCAACAATGTCTGGTTGGTTGGGACTGTTAATATTTGCATGTTGGAAAAATGCAGAATCATACTCCCTATCACTTCATTATTTATGAGACAATGACTGTGTGTACGCCAATTGATTAGACTAAGAAAAATCTGGCAATAGCAATTAAACCGGACCTTTCTGCAATGATACTCATCAGCGCATTTGGCGCAAATCGATAAAAATAAATTACAGATCTTGTTCGACGAGAAAAGTGATGGGGAGGCTTAGCCACAACGGGTAGAAAACTTGGTTGCTGACTATTGCTTAATACAATTATATGATCCCTTTTTCATGACAATGTTATCCTAGTTAATAACACATTTATTTGGTAATCATCGATAAATCAAGTATTAAAAACCCCCTGTTGCTTGATGAGTCATAAGCCTCGTTAAATGTAACGTACGGTAGTCATAATGAGATGATGTTGCTATAAAAGCTAAGGTTGCAAACTATTAATAGCAATAAATAAAATATTTCCAATTAGGTTACACTCATTCTTAATAAAGTTGGTAATGAGTATTTTTAATTGCTTTGATTGTATAATCTGTGCCACTATTTCATTATTACGCAAGCACATAAACAATGCGCACGCCTCGAAATGTATTGTTGAGATCAGTATTGTGTCTCATATAGCGTAAGAACTTGATTATTAATAATGTCTTCTGCGATATAAATACATTTACACAGATCGCAAGACAAAACTTGTGTGCTTTTTACTAAGGTCTTCCGGCAAGTTTGTGCTAAAGGCGAATTAAACCTTATCACACTGTGTGACAAGAAAAGAGATTATTACTTCCCATAACTCATCAACCGTTCGAGTCTAAGCATAGTTGTGTTTGTTTAAAAAATAATGTGTGTGATGTTGAACGAAGAATCGTTGGATTATTAGTCTTCGCAAACCATTTAGTCTCTTCCTCGTGATTAGCAAGCGTGGGAACTGGTGGGCAAACGAATTGTACTTGGTAGTTTCTTTTTATCGTTAAGTCGTTTCATGTGACTTCCCCACGGTTTTTACTCTTAACTATAATTCCCAGCAATGTGAGATAAAAATAACTCAATTACTTTAAGTGTACAGTATAATCTAATCCCAACTTCTTCTTTATTTGTCAAAATTTCTGTGGTCGTATTGCTCAACAATACCTCGAGTCCTGACATTTATCACCTTGATCGTCTAAACCTGATTTGTGATGAGAAAATTCTTTTCGAACAAACGTCAAATTTTGTCTCTCAAACCAAATTCGATATATATACGCCAAGCTCAAATATAAAAGAAAGCTATCTTGTTACTACCAACAATCAATTCACGTTTTTCTTACGCTGACTGAAAAATAAAATATCAAACAATGAAAGTCCAATTCATTACCATCTTTGTTATCGCACTTCTGGCTTTGGCGAGTTACACTCAAGCACAAACCTGCAAAGTTTGTAAGTTTATACAGACAAAACAAATAATCTCATTATTCAATAATAAAATCGTTCATATTAATGATGTTGCCACCTCTTTAGTTCTCCGAGGAAATTTTAGGCACCAAACTGGTGATGGAATGAACTCTGGCTGTTTTGGACTTGATGAAACTGATCCTACTAAAACTATCCTTGTTGGCAGAGCCGTGACTAGCTGGACTCTCTTCTCTGGTATTAACTGCGCCAGAGGATCTGAAATTGCTTCCGGGGTTGCTGGTAGGCGTTTTAACCCTCCCGTAATGGCCAGTTCGGTTCGAATAACTTGTTAATTCACATCAGTACACCAAGCGTATGCCAAGCAAGTCTTATGAAGACTTTTATGGTCAAAAACGCGTCATGTTTGATTAATTATATTGTACTGTTGAATAAAACAATTAGTTTTACTTGTCATTAATAAAATATGTGGCGATAATTTGAAATTTATTAATGCTTTAGAGCTTTAATGTTTTTGTTTATGAAACAAGTACTAATGAATTTGAATTCTTGACTACATCACAGGAAGTTGCTCGTAGTCCAAATTACATCATTCTCCTTTGTGGTATGCACCTAATTCTCTCCGGATATTAGCGTTAATGTCAATAATGCCAACAAATCAATATCATGTGTAAAAGACTATTCGCTCGAACAATTTATATTAGAGATGGAAATGTATTAACTACTATTACTTGTTTTCTTTATCCGGCATTTTATATTCTTTCTGCGTTAATGTCGAATTGTTCAACTAGAGATGTACTGCAATCTTTTCTTAGATACAGTTTAATAGAATGTAATTTAGGATTCTTTACGAAAACCACAATGCTTATTGGAAAACATAATATTGTGCCAGCCTTCATCCTTAATTAAGCTGTTCTAACTAGAACAATATTAATATTCTTCGATCACCCATCATGTCGTGAGAACATTTTGATTGTTGGGTACGCACTTGTTTGTTTTGTGATCTTGCTGCCGCGAACATTTAAGTCGTTCCGAATACTATTCATATTATACTGTATACAAGGAACAAAATTTGCTTTATTTTGCATTAACACGTTTTACTGTAAGGTAAACCAAATTTTATTGGTATCTGTGATCATTACTAGATAAAGTTGTCATGTCGCAGCGTTGATTATCAACAACATTTTTTAAAACTATGATTAAAATACAAACTTCCAAGTTACGAATTATAGTAAATAAAAATATTACATCTCAATATTTATGTGCTTGCCAAACTATTCAACGTTTAATTTTGCTCGTTCTTTCACGCAAACTGCGTCATTGGCAATGTCCCGTTTGTTGTTGTCAACAAAGAAAAATGCCCTCATGATTTGTGTCTAGTTAAACTATAAAACTTGGCAATTGCAAAGCGTATTCTTTACGTATACTACGAGGAGCAAGTTTATCATATATTCAGAAATAAACGGACGGATAAGCTATTCGTGTACTCGACAACTTTAAATATGCTATATTCAATTTCTTTTGTTTTTTAATTTTTCAAAGACTGCCTTTTTTTTTATCGTATCAGGGTCTTGTTTAATGCAGTGATTTATTTAGATCATTCATGGCCTTGGCACATTTGCCAAACTCGTGATAGACACCTCCTTTTAAACTCAATGCATCCGCGTCATCTTCATCCAGCGCCTTATCGTATTTCTCAAGTTTGCTTATAGACAATGCCCTCGTGTATAATGCAAACTGTACTGCAATAAACGTTTCTCCTTTTGCTCAATACAAACACGTTACTTGGCTTATTTATCAATGGCGTGTTGAGATTACACAATGCATAAATATTTCGCCACTTTTGAGATGGACATTTTCTTTACACTGCTAACGTACCCGCATTATCTGGACTAATTTGTAATGATCAACAAGGCCTCGTCATATCGATCAAGCATGCGATAAATATTTTCTCGTAAGTATTATGTATTTGCGTCGTTTGGTTCAATATTTGATGATTCAGTTAGATCAACCAATATTTTTTGAGCATGCGATAGACATCTCCTCTCGTGCAAAATGCAAATGCGTCATTTATTGAGATCAATCAGTGCATCATCATACTGATCGAGCTACGATGGACTCAGCCTTGACACATTGTACTCCAATGACCTACTGGAACATTGCTCCAGTCCAATGCTCCATTGCTCTAATGGTAAG